GATGGTCATTGTGAAAGGATTTGCAGCTCTCTAATCCTCATCACGCTGTCTGCATTTTAGAGTGCTTCATTGTTACCACCACAAAGGGACACCACTGGCCATTAACTATTAACCGCATTGCATTATTCGCCATGAGAAAGTTGCTACATGCGTGTGTGCGGGTGTGTGTGTATATGCGTAGGTGTGTGTGTGTGTGTTGTATTTACGTAATCAGCAGTAAACCTCTCAATCCCAGCTTAAAGGGAAAAAACACATCTGGAGATGTTACGAAATCACTTTTTTTTTACATCAGGATGAACACACGCACACACGGACACGCACACACTGGTTTAAAAGAAGCCTCTCACGCAGGGCCACAGGTGTGTCGCTGTTGGTCAGCTGTGTTATTTGATTACACATTTAGGCCGTGCACTCACCGTCACGTGCCTCGTCTTTGCGTTGTTATAAAAGATGAATGGAAAGAGTAAGTCGGGAGGAAGTAAAGCAGAAGAAGGAGAGCAGATAAGGGAAGGTAACGTGGCTGCTTAAGCTTATGCACTACGACTTCACACACCAGTCACCTAAATGCCTACCAAATACGAGGCTACGTGAACTCTGACCAGACATCAGAGGGAAAAAACACACTTTCTGAATCCAAACCTCTGACGCTTCACAGATATGTGATAAAGGAACCCTTTGAAAGTCACGTGACTATGAAAAAGAAAGTATCTTTGGCAAAATGTAGCTCGTGGGAGAAAGGAAACCACTGTGACTTCCTCTCAAATTCAAAAAATATCAGATTTTAAAATGCACAAAGTGCGTGCTCATTTTTATTGACCAATGCCAAGATGACAGCAGGGGTGGTTTTTGTTTTGTATTTTTGGTGTCAGTGAACGCCTCAGCTTTGTGGAGAGGTAAGTAAAGCAGTAAAACTTCACTGTTTGGGGAATAGAGGGCAGAGGATACTTTTATCACAATATTTATAACTCATGTTAGGATTTTATTGTGATTTTTAACATTTTGCGATATGCTGAGTATTGTAACAGCATGCATTGGTATTTATCATCTTTAATTAACTTCAAATTACATCCTCCAAATGTACTTTGTCAGTGGCTGGAAGCCAGCTGAGTCAAGTCTGTTTGAGTTGTGCTCATTAACTGATGGCAACACGTTGGCAATCAGCCTCGCTATGACCTGCTCATCCTCTCATTTTTTTCTTCTTTATAGATTTTGAGTTAATATTTGCTGTTTCCTTCACATTCCCCTTCAGGTGATATCTGTCCTCATGCCCTCAAAGCTGTGAAAGAACGTGATGCTTGTTCCAGGACTAACTTCTCCAGCTTTTCCCTCTATTTCATTATTCCTGCCTGATTGCTTTTTCCCAGACAGAAAGCATTTCCTCAATTTGTGCCCACATGCGGGAAACGAGCTCCCTCTGGTTTTGGAGCGTGGACTTCTTAACCCCTTTTCACCTCTTTGCACTTAAAAACGGCTTCCCCGTCATCTTCGTTCACACCAAGGCAACGTGCTAAAACTACACTTTGCCAGTTCGCCCTGATATCAGGTCCGTGTGGGGCGACTTGTGTTCACACGTAGGAAGACTTTGGGTTTCCCTCCCTGTCAAACTAATCTACAGAGCACGAGTCTGCTGACACAGAAGCTAAGCCAGCGGCTGATAGCAGAATTTAATAACAGATCAGCGTCTGTGCCTTTATTGTTTTTACCAAAATACGAGAGCGAGGACCCAGCTGACCCTGAAGGATCAAAAAGCATGAACAGATACATTTCTAGGTTTCCATAACTGTTTGAGATTAGACTAACAGACTAATTAGACTCAAATTAAAACATAAATATGCATAAATATGAATGTATTCCCTCATAACAGGAAAGTTGGTGCTTTTTCGGGGGGTTGTTGTTGGTCTGGCTGGTGGAAAATGTCATCAGGGCTCTATCATTTACAAACAACCTCCATTTGTCTCCCACACACACCAGGACTCATCCCTTCCATCTTCTTGTGCTTTTATTAAATGTTTTCCTACTGCAAAATTTAAAAAAAAATTATGGACACATTAAACTTGTAATAAACGTGTAATAAAAAGCGAAAACAGCATTTAGCAAGATAACATTAGATCGCTCTGTGACTGCTTTTCCTCGTTTCTTTGTCCGGTGTCCCTTTAGGTTCTGCCAAGCAACAGAACAAGGGAGCAGTATTTTTCTGAGCACTGTTGCTGTACTGTGGCTCAGTGTGGTACTCTGATGTGTTCTAATCAGTTATGACAGGAGGGCTTTGTGTGTGTGTGTGAGTAATGAAGTGAAATAGAGGGATGGAAAATCAAAGGCTGATCAGACAGGGCATTATTGTATCAGCATCCTCTTCTATTGAGAGTCTCCCTCTCCGTGCGCTCACCTCTTCCCCTCCGGCAGATGTGTCACGGCACAGTTACGTGTATGCATGTGGCACCCCTGTTTTCATCTCACTGAGCATTACAGCACATTCCATACATTAATAAGATCAGTTGCATATAAGAGGATCAGAACCTTTGGATCTGCTGGTGGTGGGTGCACACCAGAGGAATCTGTGTGTGTGTGTGTGTGTGTGTGTGTGTGTGTGTGTGTGTGTGTGT